GTGAGCGCGCGACGCGGCGCCGCCTCCGCGCTCGTGGCCGGCACCCGCGGGGCCGCGTAGTCCCCGCTCCCCGGCGCCGCTGGGCTCCCGGGAGGGCGGCAGGTGCAGCGCGGCCGGGTGGCCGGCCAGGGGGGCGCCGCGGCGGCGGGTGGATGAGAGTTGGCCCCGATCACCCCGCAGGGTAAGCGGCGCGCACGCGGACTCCCACACGGACCTGGGCGACGCTCGCCACGCTCTGTCCCAGCCACCGGGCCGCGACCCCGTGCGCTGTGCCTCTCTTACTCGGTGACCCACAGCGGCGACCCTCCCTTCGGGGAGCAGCGCGGGCGCGCCCCGCACACACGCTCCCGGGGCGCGCGTCACGGCCGCCCCTCGCGCGTCCCACGGGCGCTGTGCGGGTCAGGGTCCTGGTGGGCGAGAGGCAGACGTCGATGGGACGCAGGACCCAAACTATGATGTGGGGGGAGTCATTAGATGGGTCACCATGCGTAGGCCGCTCGCGGGGGGGTCAGGATGAGGGCGCAGCAAATGTCGTCCTACTGACCCACTCTTGGGGGTGGGGGAGAACTGGAAAGGAGGAGGGCTGTCCAGGCCGGTGTGGCCCAAGAGGTGACCCAGGAAAAGTTGTGGACGCTTGTTCTCTTTCCACACCCTGCTTTCTGTGTGTCTTTTCCTTTCCTTTGGAATTAGCCTATGGGATTCTGGGGACAGTTGGCACCTGGGCTGGAGCTTAGGCCTATGTGTTTATACAACCGTGAAGGTGGGGTGCTGTGTGGCAGTCCCTAGCCTAAGACCTCATCTGTCCAGAGCGGGACCAGCACCTCTGAAAGATGGAGAGGGGCTAGTCTGGATGTTGATTCTCCTGTCCCTACCTGTGGCCAGGGTAAGGAGCAGGCTTGTAGGGCCAGAAGGAGAACCTTGCACTCCTTAGAAGTTCCCCATTTCCAGAGGTAAGAGAGATTCAGTTTGGGGGAGACCTTGTTCAGAGTGGGTTCCCTTCCTGCCTTGCCTTGTATAGATTAGGGACAAAATTAAAGGTGCTGAGACTTTAAACCCCCACTCCCCACCCACACAACCCCCAATCTCACTGAAGACCAGCCAGGCAGAGGGGCTTGCTTTAGGGCCAGGCCCAGGAGGAGGGAGGGTCATGGTTCAGGCTCTGTAGGGTTTGAAATAAAGGACATTTGGAAGTTAGGTTTTTCTCAGGTACCTGTTCCGTGGCATTGGGCAAGGCTGTGAATATCCCCTCCCTCAGTTTCCTTATCAGTGAGTTACGAAAGATGAGATAAGAGTTAATGAGATGATACAGGTTCCATGTTGGCCAGACACACCCTAGGTGAGGAGTCAGGTGAGGCCATGCACGATTTGCCTCTCAGGTGACCTTAGTGGCCCTGCAAAGATATGAAGGATCTTTTCTCGTTTTGCCCAACCTGTTCCCAGGGCCATTTGGGGACACACAGCCCGGTCCAGTAAGAGTGTTTTATTTAGTATCCCTGCCCCATGCTAGGATGAAGCCACAATCCACAGATGCTCTCTGGGACACCCCATCTGGGGGGGTCTCAGTCAGTATGCCTGCTCCTCCCTCCTCCCCAGGCTGCTTCTGGATGTTGGAGCCCCCTGCTGTGACACTGACTACAGAACTCCCAGGGAGTATGGGCTAGGTACTGATGTCTAGGAGGTTGGGTGCCCAGGATCAGATTCTTTGTGTACCATCATTTCCCTGTTTTGCTTGTTTTTCCTCGGCCATCCTGGCTGATGATGGGGAACATGGCTGTCCCTGTTGGTCCCAGAGATGTCTGTCTGAGTCCATGCTAGGACTGAGTTTCCTATAAACTGCCCTGGACAGTCTCAGAGTTGAGGTCTGTTTCTATACCGCCTGGCACCTGTTTATCCTGTGCCTCCTACCCAGCCAGGCAGAGGGGTTTTTGCAGAGATGTCTTCCTTAAGGAAGGTCTCTCTCCAAACCTCCTGGCGCCCTCTGTTATCCTGGCTCCCCCGGAGTGGCGCCAGCAGACAGCGAAGTTGTCAGTGCCAACAGCCGTGGCCTCCGCTGTCCTCACTCTCGATGGGCTTCACCTTCACCTTCACCACCTAGAAAGAGGAGAGTCAGACCTGTTTCCTGAATCAACATTTCTGCCTCACAATAGAGAGTGTTCCGCACAATGGAAACAGTGTCACTGGAGCCTCTGAGACACTCTTGGCTGTGCTCTTACTGGCCCCAGCATAGGAAGTTACAGCTGTTTAGAAATAGCAGCTCCAGCCGTGCCACATCTGGACAGAATTCATGTCTGGAGAACCAAAGGCTCAGTGTTCTGCTGTAGGACCCTTGTTGTGTAATCTGCTACATGGTGTCTCTTCCTTCTCTGGGGACACATGGGAGCCCTATCCAGTTCCTCATGCTCTGGTAGGGCTTCTCTTTAGAAGCCTGATCTACCGAGCCTTTACAGGATTAGGGTGCTCATGATGGAGTGAGGTTTGTGTTTGGGGGCCATCCTCTTTGGAGAGCTGGGCAGGTTCTCCTCCTGAGCACCGCTGGCCTCTCTACTTTGGTATTTGGCTTTCTTGGTCTATCTTAATGACAACACTTTGTGTGGTGGCAAGTGCCTGTTAGTGGGAGATGCTGTGACAGGCTTGTGTGGTTGGGCCACCTTTTCTGAGTTTCTGCATTCTTCCCCGCTAGGTAGACTTCGAGGGTGCGGCTGGCCCTCTAGCAGTGTGGGGCAAGGCTGCGGCCCGCCTGCGTAGGTGCCTGTTGGGACAGCTGCAGACCACTCTGCACTGTGTCAAGAGTGGAGAGACAGCAATCCTGAATCTAGAGGGTAAGATGGGAACCATGCAGAGTGAGTCACAGGTGACTGTAGCCGGACTCGCCGCAAGGCAAATCCTCTTTCCCCGGCCTCAGGTGGCCATTTCCAGGGAGGCCTCCACTCCAGGGTAGTTTGACCATAAATAGGGGCTCTGGAAGGTTTGGAATGTGACCTCCATGAGCTGACTGGGGACTTTTTGGTGCCATTCATAGTGGCTTTGGGGCTGCTTTCTCCTTGGTTTTCCCCTGGTGGCTTCCTGCTTTTCTTCATTCTGGACAGAACTAGAAAATGGTGCTTAAAAAGGGGATGAAAGTCGTTAGCCAGGTGTGGGCCAGCTTCAGGGAGGAGGCCTAGCCTAGCCCTGCCTAGGTGGGTGGGCCCAGGGCAGCTGTACCAGGTCAGAGCTGGTGGCTGATGGAGAAATGGCCTGTGAAGAAAAAAAAAAAAGTCAGGCTGTGACAGACTGGGGTTTTCCTAATTGTTGAAAACATCGATCTTTTCTCCTGGGGTGCCTGCGTGTGGCCGGTACAGAAGGCCTGGGAGGGGACTTCGAGCTATAAGTCACCACTAATAACATTTGACATCTAATGGCCATTGTTAAGACTGTTTGGTGTTTGAATTATAACCAGGGTTGTGATTATACTTAAGCCTGTGATTAAAGTCCCCTGGGGTTAGACAGGAAGACAGGAAGTATTGGCCTATCTAAAAAAAAAAAAAAAAAAAAAAAGTAGTAAGAGAACTCAGTCTACACACTACACACTGTGCTGAGTGCCTTTCAGGAATCCTCTCGCCCCATGCACTTTTGCTATGATCATCAGGTGAAGAAACTGAGGCACAGAGAGGGCCACAGCTTGTTCAAGTGCTCGTTAGTTCTGTAGCAGAACTAGGACTTGAACTTTGGGGCCACAGCAGCTCTAGAACCCCATGGTAAGCCTTCTGTTAAAGCTGAGTTAAAGAGACCATGTGGTTTTTAAAGACACGGCTGTATCTCTCAGAGGGCCTGGTGACATTCTTCTGAGATGTTCTCGTTCATGGTTTGTTTTTGTGACTATTGAAGATGGGTTCTGTGGTGGGCTTCATCTCATAGTAAGGGTACCTCTAATACAGAGAAGTTTGGGGGTTTCTCCAAGATACAAGACTTTGCCTCCTTTTCTGTTTGTCTCTCCTTCCCATGTAGACGGTATGTGCTTCCCATAGCCAGGGTCCCTCCACACCCAGTTAGCGCCATCCATGTACCTGTGTCTGGCAGCCTCTAGTGATCCTGAGTGGCACCGAGTGGGCACCGTGCTCTGCCTTCTCTGGGCCATTTGGCAGTTCGTACTGCAAAGACCCTTGCTTTAGGGTTCATCTGTAGTTGAGCCAGACTGTGTGATCAAGAGGGGCGAGGCTCTCTGATCGCTGCCTCAGGGAGAGAGCGAGCCTAAGAGAGAATTTGCTCTTTTTAGGCATCTTTGTTGAGGAATAATTCACACGACACACTACCCACCCCCTACAGAGATAATTTACTGCTCTCAAACCCATTCATAATCTTGTCAACTGTAAGCCTTAGAGGATGTTTCCAGAACAAGACAAGGACCGGGTGGCTGGCACTCCACTGCCTCTTTCTCTAGCTGAGGCCATCACCACGATTGTTTATCTAGGGACTTGTCTTTTCTGGACACTTAATGTACCTGCCATTACACCGTGGGTGGCCTTTGTGTCAGCTGTCCTTGTTTATTGTGGATGTGTCCTGGTGGCAGTTGTGCCTGGTGTCCATCTGTCCACTTTCCTGGCCCTGCTCTGCCCCCTATGTCAACACTCTGTTGTACCGTTAACATCTGAAGCTGCTGTTGTTTGCTTGTTACTGTTTGTGGACTAGCACTCATACATTTAAAAAGTTGTAGATTACGTTTATTTGTTTTTGTTTGTATGTTTGCCACAGCATACATGTGGAGGCCAGACGACAATTTTTGGGAGTCAATCTCTTCTTCTATCACGGGGTCCTCTGTCCCTAGGGATGAAACTTGGGTCATCAGGTTAGGTGGCAGTCTCTGTTTCCACCCATGGTTATTAATGACGTTCTCTGCTTCACAGGATGCCTTGAATTTTGCTTCATGTCCTTGTTTCTGTCCCAGGACCCCCATCCAGGTCCCATATATGTCTGGTTATTGTATTCCCTTAGGCACCTCTTGACCATGACCCTGTCTCAGACTTTGGTTGACTCCTTGAGGAGTGTGGTGGCCTGCGGGGCCCTGTGTATCACTTGGGAATCCGCTCTTGAGATTTAGATGGTTTTGTCATGGTGAGTCTGGGGTGATGGGTTTGGGAAGGGCTGCAACATTCTTGATGTCTGGATTCTGTCGTTCAGTGTGACTCCAATATACCCTATCTGTGAAGGAGCCTCTCTGTCAAGACCTTCCCTGCGCTGCTCTTTAGAAGGAATTCACAGTGTATCCTACAACTGAGGCTAGGGAAAGGGGCTCCGTGCTACCCCCTAAAAGGCCGAGAACCTGAGTTATTTGGATTCCGTGTGGATAGGGGAATTGTCTCAGCCACTCATTAATCATTGATTTCTATTCGTGTTGATTCATATGTTACACTTTATTGTGCGACTCCACTTGGCTTCTTTCCTTACTCTGTTCTTTTGCTGTTACTCCTGGGTCCCATAGATACCACATGCCTGCAAGAACCTAAGCTCCTCACTGCTGCTTGGTGCATAGGACATTCTATGTTCAGCCTTAGAGTCTGCCCATTCTAGAGTCAGCATCAGAAACCCAGATCTAGTGCTGGTTGCTACTGGGGTTTGGTGGCTTCTAGACTCCCTCAAATGGAAGAAAATGAAGTCTATGTTTGAACTCTGACCCCCAAGCCCCTGCATCTGTTCATGAGCACATCCAGGCATGGAGATCTGTGTCTATAACAAGGGAACTGCATTCACAGATGGCTAGTTCTAGTCTGGTCACTCATGGATGGTTCTGGTCTCTTCTCCTTGTAGATCAATACTATTCCACCTTAGCAGCATGGTGCTAGGATCTTTCTCCCTTAGCTACTCATGCATTTAATCCTTCAATGTCAATACTCACAAAGTGAGATCAGAACTGTTATCTTGCAGTGCACAGGGAGAGTCTGCCAACCCAGAGCCTTACCAATCCATTCAGTGGGTATGCACTTTGGCCAATTAACCTCCCCAGAGATGCTTCTGGAACTGGCTCTGTGATGGAGAGAGAATCAAGGGGAAGTTGTGGATGGAAGGACTGCTTTGCTGTGCTCAACAGCCTGGCTGTGGGATGGGCACAGACAGGGACAGCCCTTTGAAACTTGAGAGAGGGGGTGACGTCTGAAGGAATCCTCATAGTCTGGCCTCCTCACGAAGGGTGGAGAAAGGCCACGGTGAGCTGGCAGCTTTGGAGTTCAGAGATCTTTGACTTTGATCCTGACTGGGTCTGTCTCCTCTTTGCCTCTGAACTTGCCACTTTGGCAGGGAGGAGTCTTTGAATGGGTCTCTGAGCACAGAAGGTACACCCAGTTGCCTTTCTGGGAAGTGCCACTCATGCGCTCTTGCTGACTATGGTGGTGAAAGGGAGTAAAGTGGCACTCCTATGCTGATGTGGGCTTGGTTCTACTTCTTTATAATGGACTTGATGGTAGCCATCGCCCTATTTGTCCAGCTGTTCAGGTCATCAGCAGCTGGTGCTTGTGGCAGGGTAGGGGCAGGGGCGGCATGCACAGTGGTTATTTAGACGGGAATTGTGTAGGCTGGAGGTATGCCGGGTGCAGGCTGGCTGGCTGGGTAGATATCAGTAGACAGATCCCAGCCCTGATAGGCCCTGAGAACAGGCCAGAGGGACACTGATATTTCAGAAGAATGTAGCCACCTGAGCAGACTCAGGAGACACCTGGACAACACCTCTATTTCATGTTGCTGTCTGCTTGCACTGAAGTGAGATAGGTCACCAGACAACTCTTTGGCTCAATGAGGCTGTTTCGAGGTTGGGATTCTATTTTCTGTGTGATGTAGGCTGAGCTCTGGCGTGCCCTGGGATAGATGCCGCCCCAATCCTTGATGAGCATGGAAGTGAATAGAGGGGATAGGGGTGCAATCTGTACTGTCTACACTCGCAGGGAGGGGCAAGCATACTGCTGTCTATACATGGTGATTGCTGCTTTCTCTATAGATACACATTTTTTTTTTAGAACTTAGAAGTGTTTTTCCCCTCCCACTGTTGAATACTGATATGGGAGATAGCTTCTGGTTGTAGTTTAAGAAGCCCTGGCTTGAAAGATCTCAGCTTCATCTGTACTCCTAGCCTTGTCTCTGTACATGTTTATCAAGGATCTGCCATGCTTGACACTAGACAGCGCTGAATGTCGTCACTGTCCTCTGGGGACCTGTGGTAGATGGAAGGTTAGAACACCTGGCTGGTGCCCGGGAAAGCAGCCCTGGGAAGCATGACTGTGTTAGTGAAGGTCCATTGTCCTTCACGGCCACCTAGTTGTCCTACCCTGCAACTCAAGCCTGAGGCTTGTAGCTTAGAGGACACTTGGGAGGAGACCCGTGATGTTAGGAAGGCATATTCTGGATGGGCCATTGAGTGAGTAGCTGGGCATCTAAGACTCTGAAGCTCAGGGTGGAGAGATGGCTCAGGACAGTAGTTGCCGGTCAAGCAGCAGACTGGGGTTCGGTTCCCAGCACCCACGTGGGAGCTCACAACTGTCTAACTCCAGTTCCAGTGGTTCTCATGTCCTCTTTTGGCCTCTGTCGGTACCAGGCATGCACTCAGTGCACGTATGTTTGCAGGCAAAACAGTTGTACACGTAAAATAAAAATAAATAAATCTTTTTTTTTTAAGGAAAGAAACCAAGTTTTTAAAGAAAAACGAAAAAAGAGGACAGAGCACGTGACACGTGACTGAGGATGTGTCCTCAGGAGGCTGAGATAGGAAGACAGTTCACAGCCTGGGCTACATCACAAATGTACCTCAGTGCTCTGGCAGCATATATGAGGCTCTGGGGTTCAATACTCAGTACAGACT